GGGGGGCGGGCACGGTCAACGCCATATCTCAAGTGACGTATGTTATATACTCCGTAAGCTATACCATACATTATTCTTGCGTTTTGGACAGGGGTGGGGGTAAGCCGGACGTTTTGACTTAAAGAGGGCCTCTTGTGCTGCGGAGATTGTGAGGGGCGGGGGGGGCGGGGGAAGGGGGGCGCGTCGCGCTTGTTAGACCGAAAGATGCACACGCGGATGGGTGTGCTCATGACCCCTCTTTGTTTTTTCGGTTCTCGCGCCCTTCCTTTCTTGCGTGCTCACGATCAAAATTGTCGTCGGTTTTGTCAGTTTCGCTGGTCTGCGACGGGTTGCTATGTCGTTTCTCGCATGCAACCGCTGTTATTATTTCTCTCTTTTATGTTGTCGGTCCCCTACTTGCGTCTTGCTTGCTTGGGCGTCCCCTGTGTGTTGTACGTTCAGACTTTCTGTTACTACTACTGCTGTCGTACCAAGTATTTTTATATTTCCGTGTGCTTTTTATTGTTCGCTCTGGTTCGTTCGTTCGTGGGGGGGGGCTGAGGACAGTGTACAGTTGACAGCCGGTATGCATAGGTCTCTGTTTTTTCTTCAAAAACTTTTACGTGATCAAACGTAGTTGGCTGTGCCTTTTGTTTTGAAGCAGCGCCGCCGCTCTGGAGTTCATGGTCAGTCGAAGAACCTGCCCGTGATGCGATATAGATGGTCGCCCAGTAGTTCCCTTGTCTGCTTCGTTCCTTCACGTCTTCCAAGTAATATATGTCTTTCTTGGTGGATACGTTTTGCCTGTAAGCAACGTGATTGTCATGAATGGTCAAATTGTGCAGAAGTATTAACAACGAACGGTCCATGATGAAATATATCCAGACGGCGGTATCCCCGTCGCGCCAAATCTCCGTAGATCATGTCTTCTTCCAGAAATGGAAATTCATCTCCTCCCCGCGGACTCGTTGAAATTCTGGAGGTCTGCCTGGTCTCTGCAGTATTATCCCAGTATATAAGGAGATGCACACGGTTTATTACACATGTCACATGGTGACCCTGCTTATAATTGTGCAAATGATGTAGGCAAGTACCACCGAACGGTGCTGCAGTTCGTTATTGCCGGCGTGGGGTATCATCCCACACATCATCACTGCCGTAGACTAATATTGTGGACATCAATACGATTGGCGAAACGGGAACCCGAGAACGTGGTGATTGTTCGTGCAGGAATCAGAGGAATTTTGTTGCTACAGTTTACAGCAGTAGTAAAGGAGGGGCGTCGAAGTTCCGAAGCAGTTGATGCACACTGCAGCAGCTCCTTAATTCATTCTCAAATGGCGTCTTGAGGATTTTTCCAATCTTGCTGTTGCTTTTCTTCCCGAACAAGTGGAGGACTAGGGCGCAAAACTCGAGAGGTTGCCCAATTCTGTCGAGGGGATGGGGCCCGGATGGGGGGCAGCGGCGGGTGGAGGGAGGGGGCTTTGCAAACATGAACTTTGAGGTTTTGGGCTAAGAATTCGTGGCCCTCCAGTACCGTGGACTTACGAAGACGTTTTTGCCCAGGAAATCGTGGTCTTCAAAACTAACAACGGTGACCCAAGAATTCGTAGCCCAAGAAATGGCGGCCTAGGTACGTACGTACCGACGAGAATCTTGCGGGCTATTGTAAGTAGTGGCCAACGGGAACGTGACCCGCCAAAAAAATAGCGGCCGAACAAAACGTGGCACGAGAACAAAACTACTTTCTAACATGTAGAGCCTGACGCGTGTGGAGTTGAGTTATTATTGGCTATGTTTTCAGTGCGTGTGCGACAGCGAGAAATAGTACGAAAAACTCGGCCCCCTCATGAGAATTCTCATAATATAAGACCCCGTCTGAAGCCAGCTCGTTCGCCTCTGTCTATCTACTTACTTGTATATATAGTGTCGCCCCGTCGACTTGGAACCTCGCCCCCCCTGTAGTACGGTGCGACGGTTCACCCTCATCATCATCCGCTGCTCCTAAATCACGAAGATGAGGGGGCTCGTGCTCTATGAACACATCGGATCGCAAGCCTAGGCCGAAAGATCACCTGAAGTCTACACTCCTGTCCCCCACCAAGACCAGTCCTCGTGGATCGGAACACGGCCGCGTTCTTCTCCAACAACGTAGATCAGAGGAAGTGAGTGATTGATTGTCGTCGGGGCGAAAGGTCGCCACCTCAAAGATTCGAGTTATTCATTCATGAAAACGTCTTGTCTCTCTGTACGTGCAAGTCTGTGGGCCGTACATGTAGTTGGCGAAGAACTGCGTAAAAAAAAACGTCCCATGATGTGAATGTTGTCGTGCTCGGATGTGGGGGGTGCAAGCAACGCGATCGCGAGGAATCCCGAATAAAAACAGCGAGGCGGGCTGCTGTGGTGGTGGTCACAGACAAAAACGGCGAGCTTCGCTTACTGCTGTTGGATGTTGGAGAAGGAATACGTCTACACATGAAAGAAAGCAGGAACCGCTCGCGCGAGACGAGGCCCAGAAGCCAAGGAATCCAAACACATGTGCTCACAAGGCTGAGTCGTCGTGTGATCAGGGGATGCAAACCCAACGTCCCCTCTCGAAGGATCTGGCTTATGTACAGCCAGCCAAGGGAGCACCTTCTGGAGCGCGGCCCTCATCTTGCAACACAACGCCGACTAGTGCTCGCGCGAGGCCGAGGAGAGTTTGGGAGGGGGACGGGAGGACAAGAGATGGGCACGCAAAGGATCGTATGCATGCATGCACACCACGTTATCAGTCCCAAACCACCGCCATGTGGCACAAGGCACTGGAATAAAGCAAGCAAAAACGAACAATAGGGCGTCTGTATTCCACTGGCTGGTTTCAACACCCTCATTGAAATTTTCGTGGGATATCATCAAAGGCCCCACATTTGACCCCGATCAGGACCTACCTTCTCAAGGTCCAGGGAACATCACACCCTGCTTGAAAAACTCTACCTTTCTCTGAAAAGTTTTTTTTTGTAATCTAGATCGCCAAAGCGTGGCAAGGGATGTCACTCTAAATACCAATCAATCCCATCCCCGCCCAAAGACCCTGTTAGAGCCAGCCACCACGGCGAGAGCGAAGCTTCACGCGTCACGCATCGCACGACGGGGTAAGGCCACCACCAGCAGCGCAGCCTCCCTCTGTGCCGCAAACATCCCTCCTCTAAAAAAAGAAACCCAAATCCCGTGCGTGCTGATACAACACAAGGAAGAGAGAGAAGTACTCACGCTTAAAAAAGACCACCGGGACGCTTCGCTCCCTAGACTGGGGGGGGAATCTTCATGTCTAACTAAATCGTCCTAGCAGCCGAAGCGAGCCGAGGGCACACATACACGAGAGCGAGAACAAAAAAATCCTCACTCACTGCTGTCAAGTCCCGCAACCTTTGGACCCCTAAGAATCGAGACAAACCAACTCCCCCAGAACAAAGGAAAGCGTGGTGGAAAGAGTTTATAGGGAAGAGACGGAAAAAAAAGCGATGCTCTCCGGCCCTGCCTCAGCACCAGAGTTCCCCTCTGGGCACCCTAACAATGACCGTACCCCCCCCCCCCCCACCCCCCCCCCCGCCCCCCCCATTAAAAAAAAAAAAAACATTTTTTTTCCCAAAAATTTGGTTTCACCCCAGAGGGAGAAAACCAACCCCCCTCCCCCGGGAAAGGGGGGGGGAATGGGGGGGGGGGGGTTTTCCCCCCTCCCCCAAGAAAAAAAAAATGGGGGTTTTTTGGCCCCCCAAAGGGCCCTTCCCCCCCTTTTTGGGGGTTCCTCCTCCTTGGGGGAGGGGGCCTTGTTCCCCCCCTGGTGGGGGCCCCCCCCCTTGGGGGGGTGGTAACCCCCCCCCCCCCCAATGGCCTGAAAAGAACCCCCCGCCCGGGGGGGGGGGGGTT